TATACCATGGCTAACTGGTGTTATTATGGCTCTTCACCACTACTGTGCTTTCATTTTCATACCATCTGTCTCTTGCACTCAATGACAGATACAGAACCTTAAGTGGCTGAGCATTTGACAAGTATTATGGAAAAGTTATTTGGAAATGGAAACTCTATTCTTGATCTAGAAGAAGAAAACCACCTTATTTTAAAACACCTGAGTTTTATGGAAAAAGTGAGTTTTTGAAAAAGGACAATTCCATTGAAGTGAAAGTTTGGAAACAGAGGATGGAATGTGTTCTGGAAAGAGGGGAACCAGGTTGCAATCATAAACCCTTGGAAGCTTATTTTATTTTTTTTTATTTGCTACTTTTTTATTTAGCTTATTTTTTTTATTTGCTACTTTCCATGCATCGTTTTGATCCTTAGTCTTGTAAAATTGCACTAATCAAGAAAAACCCTAAAATAAATCCTTAGAATAACTTTCATTCTGTCCTCAAGATTCATAAGCCACTCAAAACATTTTCTTTTTTTGCACTGGTTACTGTTACCTGTTAGGTCACATGGTGATGTTGATTTAAAACATTTACCTCAGAGCTGACTTCATCAGTTGTACTTTATTATTTCCTCAGGATGTGATTACCTTATTCCATCATTGGTTTTACTCAAAGTGAAACTTAAAGAAAAACCAGAAAGGAAAATGTATATCAGAAGAAACCTATCATTAGCAAGGGGATTTTTTTGATGCTAATTCTACTTCTCAGTCATGTTCATTTTCAATTGTCAAAAACATATTGATTGTAATTTCCCAGCCTGTAGTTGAGAGCCATTAATGTGCAGGAACTTGGAGAAGGTGTAGATGTATGTCACTGCTAAATAGTGCTTCACAGTCTGCTTCTGCTTCTCTATCACCTTATGGTGCTTTCTTTCATAAAATGGCAATAATTCTATGATTTTTCGGACACAACAAACTTTCTATTTCTAAAATTTATTCTGCTACTCAGCAGGAATCTTTGCAAGTTCTTTCCAGCTGAAGCACAGATTCAGGCACGTTTGTGCAATTCTATAAATTGCCTTCTCACCATCTTGTGGCTTAATACAGTTATTTTTTCCTACACTACTAAATTAGCATTCATTTAGAAAACCCAAGAAAATATGTAATTGTATGTGTCTAAATGCAACAACATAAAAAAAAATCTTTGTGTTAGGAGGTTGTTTTTTCCCAAAACCTTTATGAAAAGTAGGCAAATGGAAACACCAGCCTTTCCTGCAGTATTTTGCAGAGTGGGTAACTGTAGTACTTACATTTTGAAACCTATCATTTTCTCCACCAGTGCCAATCAGAAATCAAAATGACTACATTACACTTAAGTTCAGCTCAACAAACCACAAATATGAAGACTAAATAGCAGATAAATGGTCAATAACCTATGATGAAAGAAGATAATGTACCATGTACCTTTCAGAAGGAACTGTAGCAATTTTTTAAACAGCTAATAACATTTTTCTTGTAAACTGCAAGAAATAAGAACACCAGCAAACAAGAAAAACAAACAAAACCCAAACATTTAAAAAGTATTTGCAGAATATTATTATTCTAAGCTAGAAATATTTCCTCTGAAATGACTTTAAATTAGTTATATGAGTTACCAAAATCACAATAGAAACCTACTAAATACACCCAGTATTATTAGGATGCAAATGGTGTATTTCTCGATGTATGAAATACATCCTGAAGCTATTTTGTATCTTCTAAAATAATGGACTGTTTATCTTCTTTGCTCTAGCATAAAATCATGTATTATTTCTGAAAACCTGAACTCTATATTGCACTAACAACCTTGATGTTTGTAAGGGTGGAGAAAATTATACCTCTCTCTTGTGATTTTCCACTCTACATTGCTGCAAAGCTTGACATTATTGGTTTCCAGTTCAGAGCCAATACCTGCAGACAAGGCTGAGTCTTGGTGAGCTTATTTCCCTTCATAGGCTTCTTAAATCAGCAATTCAGTAGACATTCAGGAGCAAAAATAAACATTTAAAGGTGTAGTTAGTCAAATTACATCCAAGTGCCTAACACTTAATAATTTTTGAATTTATAATACAATATTTTTGAGAATGAACCTGTGCTCATAAAGATATATGTCAGTTTCTCTGACAGTAACTTATGTATTGGAAAGTCCTACATTTTCAGAGAAGTAAGAAAAATAACCTTAAAAATTCCTAATTTCAATCTATCCAGGAAATAATCTATGAATGGGAAAATTATTCAAGGGAAGAGGATAAAGGAAGCTAGTGCACATTTAAATAATAAAAAGATTTTTAAAAGCACTGCATTTACCTGATTTATTGTGCAAATTGTTCCATCTAGTGCAGACAATTCTAAACTTCTAGATGTCTGCTTGGTATTCCAGAAGATCAGAACAATACTCTAGCACCACAACAAATTTTTAATATTTTTCTTTTTTAACGAAGAAGCACCTTTCCTCGCTTACAGTGTTCAGATAATGCTGTTAATGATGCTTCACTGAATTTTCCTGGCAGAAACAATAGCCATCCAAAGGGATGTGAACTGCATGAGCTTTCACTATTTATTTATTAATTTTTTCATTCATTCTTTAAGATACCTCTTTGACTAATCTAGAAAAACAGTCATAGCTTGACAGAGCAGTTGGCATCTGTTTTTTCCTGTTGTTCTCTTCATGGTTACATTAGATATTCCTGAGCTTACTGAGCCTTTCCTGTTCTACCACAATGTCAAAGTGTTTTTGGTGATGTCTGGTTTCTATTTTTAATAGTGTTTTCCTTCTTTAGCAGATACTCCTGTCTTCTCTTTTATTTGACCTGGACACAGACTGCTTGCATGAAAACCAGTTTTGATGGTGGTGCAGGAGTCTTATGTAGCTAAAAACAATATGTAATTCATCAAATGTCCCAACTACTCTGTTTTTATATTTCAATTCCTGTGTTTTACTCTTTCATTCAATATTGCTTTTAACAACATGCTTGACTAAGAGCAATTTAATGTTATTTTTAATTCTTTAAAATGTTGTTGCATGGTGCACTCATGGCAGCAATCTATATGGGTATGGTAGGTTTCTTCAAGAGTAGTGTCTGAATATATTTATTTCTAAGATTTTTTTTTTTTTGCTTTGAATTTGAGTAATCACCTCAATCATACTGTGCATTTGGTGAATGTTTTTTGGGTAGCTTTTAATAATTTATAATTTCAACATCCTGAGAAGTGTGTTTTAATAGAGATGTGCTCAGTGTGGCAGATTTATTTGTGTTTTTTTCTCGTCATATTTTGTTATATTCTGTGTCCTACTACATTTTAAACACACTTTACATCTCCAAATGTATATATACCACTGTATGGTTTTTGGGAATTTTTTTATTTTGTATTGCACAGGTACTAAATAATTATTTCCCTATACCATAAAAAATTTTATGTCATACTTCATGTGAAATTAGGCAATGCACAATCCTGCTGTGAAATCATTTTATTTCCTAGTTAACATGAACTGTCTCCAGATACTGATTGCTCAGTCAGAGTAACTGAGGCAAATAAAATGTATTTATGAATGTAATAAATCTTGTAAAAGTATTCATTTTCTCTATTAAGTATTCTTTTATTGTAATTTATGTGATTGGCTGTGGTCTGGTAGAATATCTGTTCAGGAAATAGGAACAGTGGGGTTGAACAGGTTTTGGACACTGCTTGGGTGGTAACTTTGAATGTTTGTAGTGTATTTTGGCTCACACGCTGCTTTTTTGCTCTATGAATATTTTTTTTTTCTTTAACAGAGAGGCAACTAAGAACAAATAACACATTCTAAGTGCTTATTTACAACCCTTGCTTCCAATGTACAAGCAGTAAATGCTGAAGTGTTGTATAACTTCAGGCATGTCAGTGTAATACCTGAGCTGAGAGCTGCTCTGAAAATTGTCAGATTAGATGGTGAAGCAGAAGGGTGCCTAATTGTATTCTGGGTGTTTTACTGGAACTATTAAAAATTTATACCAGGCACAGAAGAGAAGGAAGTGCAGACAGAGCTTGTACAATGAACTTGAAGAAAAATATTCAGTGAACTCCCAAAATGTTGTTAGTGAATTTAACAACCTGGGTTGAAACTTTCTTTGCAATGTGTAAAGCACTCACTACGTTTCAGACTCCTTATAAGCTTTTCTCACTTCCTTTGCACTAGAAATTACTATCCTCTTAACAAAATGTTAATGAATCCCAGCAATTCTTTAAAGCAGACAAAATAGAAAGAACTGACTAAATAGATATCTACCTGAAACTAGGTGTAATGTAAGTTTATTTACTTTTATCACAATTTATAATACTCAAATGACACAGAATAACTGATTAATGTTTTGAATTTTTTTTTTTTTTTTTTATCTAACAAGCCCAGTAGCACACTGGCCCCATTTTAATTGATTAATACTTTGTTATGGTCTCTGGCATCTTTTGGACAGCCATCAGCTATTATTGCAAGATGCAGAGTTTCTTTCAGGAGGTCTTTTCTGCGTCTTGACTAGATCTAGTGCTGTTTACCTAAACTTTCAGTGAGGCCAGAATTCACTATGCTTTACCTGTCACAAATTTCTCCTGCAAGGAAAAAGAAGGGTAGGGATTATGAAGAAGACAGTAAAATTAATGAAAATATCAGAAATGAGTGACCTTTGCTGTATGAGCCAGTAAGGGTTTGGTGGGGATAAATGTCAGTCAGGAGCAGAGACCTTCAGCTGTAAGAGTTTGAGTGGCCTTTATCTGGCCACATCCCAACCCCACCGCTGGCCTTTCAGACAGAGACAGGAATCAGTCAGGAACTTGACATGGGAGAGTGGTTTGATCTTAATGTAATCATTAAAAGTGGTTCTGGGAATCACTGGGATGCATATCCTTTGTGTGTGCAGTGGGTGTGGTGTCTGTAGGAATGGCTGTAGCTTGCTTTTAGTGCTAGAAGAAAAATGTATGGGATCTGCAGTGGCAGGAAAATACGGAAAGATTACCATGAAGAGAAAAGGTGTCATCACTCCAGCAGTAATGTCTTTTGGTGACTTGAAGGCACATAGTTGAGGTCGCAAGGTGGTCCTGCAAGCTCTCCACTCACTTTTAGATGAGACACAACTTTCAATGGCAACACATCTCTGTGAGATATTAAGACCATATAGTGATCATGAACTGAGATGAAAAAATTCAGACCTTGTTGAAATACACTGAGCATTTCCATATCTACAAAAGTTCATCTGCATTATTTTAACAATAAAACCTAACCCTATTATAATTATTTCATGGACATCCTTTAGAGAGAAGCACAAAGGTAATGTACTACAGCTTCATGAATAGCAGATTCTCTTTGCAGAGTCATCAATATAGTCATTTATCTACTTCTCTTCATTTAAAACTATGAAAAATTGTTTGAAGCACTTCAGAAAAACCCCAGTATGGTTGAAGGAGCTCTGCATACTTTTTAAAGATTATACTTCATCCCCTGGATCACATCTGTCAACAGTCACACTTAAAAACATTTCAAACATAACTCCAAGTTTTTTAGATTCTAAAAAATTAATCTGCTATATCTCATATGCTTGCCACATCCTATATCCCATTTGTAACTTGTATCAGTTGACTTTAAAAAAACTGCTAGATGTTCTTCATTAGTATTAAATTTTTAATACATTCTTAATAAGATTTTTACTTTGGCGGATAGTTGCTTTGTTAAATAGTACAGCAAAATTTTTGTGTAAAAGGAGCTTAATAAACCAGTCTCACTTTTTCTTTCAGTTACTTAAGCAGAGGGTATATTTACTGATATTTATTGGCATCTGTCCTCTGTCAATCCTGTTCTCAGCTGAAATACCATTTTTACTGCTGTGTTTGGGGACCCCACTTCTGGAGCAGGATGAAAGGAGTGAAATTTCATGTAGCTGTGGTTTACAGAGGGAGACTGGAAAGAAAGGTTTTGCTGAGCACGGAGGAGCTGTGGGGAGAGGAGGGGTTTGCAGCGGAGTTGCTGCAACACTCCAGAGCCAAAGGTGGTTTTGCAGCAGGCCTTGCCTGGGCCGTGCAGAGGTGCTGCAGACAGGGGTGCTGCAGAGGTGCTGCAGGCAGGGGTGCTGCAGGCAGAGATGCTGCAGGCAGAAGTGCTGCAGGCAGGGGTGCTGCAGAGGTGCTGCAGTGCAGAGCAGGGATCCTCTGCTTGCATCATGTCTGAGCTGCAGGGGAAGGGCGGCTGGCTGGGCCCCGTGAGGCCTCCAGGCTCCTCTGGGGCTGTCAGGCTGTCCCAGCCAGCCGGAGCCTGCTGGGGACAGACGCCAGGCTGGGGCAGGAGCCCTCACCTCTCTGGTCCGGGTACCTTTGCTGCTGAAGTTCCTGATTTAGAGCAAGGAGTTAATGGTTGTGTTAATGTCTGAGGTTCTCTTGACATTCACAAGCACAGAAAATTTGCTTAGTAAGAGTAAGTACTGTGCAAAGGCTGAATCTCAAACTGTCTTATGAATTTGTAAGCCAATACAGCAGAATGATGTTGAGGTAACACTAATGGGTACCAGGCAATCATCCTCGCAGGTTTTGGGGTCACAGGCTGTGCAATACAAGTTTTTCAATGTTCATAGATCAAAGATGGGGAAGAAGAGAGGTTTTTTGAGATTTGAGTCTGTGTGAATACACTTTTGTACTGTGCTCCATCTCTGGGGATATGGCATCTTTGGTCTTGAGATAGTATTAGCTTGGCATCCCAAGGGCATGGCAGGACCCCAGAGGGAATGCACACATTTTCCATCTAGGTTAGATCCCTGCTGTATTTAAGTAGATAATTTTCCTTCTGTTTAACCCTTCATGCCTGCTACTATTTTAGTAAGCAAAATTTTATAGGCATGAAGGCTTTCCAGTCTAAGTCAGCCACTTCCTGAGTTTACACTGAGATTTATCAATAAACCTACAAGCTTTTCAAATTTTGTTTTCCAGCAATTTCTTAAGGGACAGCTAATTTATTTCAGAAGTGGATTAACTCTTTTAAAAGCACTTCTTTTTCGCCCCCAGCTGCCAATTAGAATTGTGTATTTCTTCATTCTTAGCAGCTATCTTTTATATTTTTCCAGTGATTACTATTATTAACTGGAAATCTGTGCATAACTTTTTAATATAGAAAGCATCTCACTTTCTAAACCATATACAGTCTTTCAGTGGAAACTTCTGTCAAGCGAAATACCCTGTTATTTTCCACCTCCATAACACATACACAATCCATATTATTCAAAAAGTAGAAGAGGGATCAAATTATTTTCTTTTCTCCCATATAAACAACAAACTGCTTTATATATGCATGGAGAGTTATGGCTTTGGCCACACTTAAGCATCACGTAATATTTTCTGTATTCTTCTTCCTGATTAAAACATTTATCAGAGACTTGGCCAGAGTAACTCTTGAAACTGTTCAGATAGTCACTTTTTAAAGAATTAATAAGGGAGAATGTCTTTGATTATAGTTTACTAGTTGTTCTTTTTAAATTATCCATAATGTGACAGTTACAATTTTCTTTTAGATGCAGTAGATTGTGTTTAGCAATGACCTTTAAATGTTCTCATCAAAGTACATTTTAGTCACTGCTTCTAATCCTGCAGGAAAAAAAAAAAACTAAGCAAAAAATGCCTGGCTAAAAATACACCTAACAATATTACAAATAACATAAAAGATAACTTTGGCCTTTTTCAAAGCTCTTTACCTGCCAAGCCATGAGCTGCAAATGGTATTACTTATGCAGGAACTCCAGGTTTTGCCAAAACCTTTGAGAAAAATTAAGAAAAGAGCTGGTATTAATGGCTCTCAAAATTCAGGAGAACTTGCACAGAATAAGTTGCTTCTAAAGGCATTAGCTCTTTATATTTGTCAGAGAGGAGCAGTAAAGAATAAATTGTTCCCTTTTTCTTTCTATTTTTATAGTGTTTCCTGAAATACAGTAATAGACTGAGGCATACTCTTAAATGTTGTTCTTGATCATGAACAGTCCAACTCATTTTATTACTTGGAGTTAATTTAACTTTTAATATGAGTAGCTAATATTCTTCATACTTTTCAGTTGACAGCCTTCCAGTTTGGATCTCCTTTTCACTTTAAAGTGCAGTTTCACCAATTCAAATGTCATCTTGACAACAGAGGGGGTCAAATTCAACTGGTTCAAAGCAACTTGACACAATATCACTTCTAACTCAGCTTATGTATGAAAAGAAACATATTTCAAGGTCCCTATTTTGCATTCAGATCTCTATGAATGATTCCTGTTAGGTTATTAGTCTAGTGCTGTCTTGCAGACAGTAATTCAAGAAATAATAACTGAGAAAGAAGTCTTAGTGAATGTCATTGAAGAGCATGAGTGCTGATCATAATTTAAAAACTAAATTTATGTCCTCTATTTTCTGTTTTACAAAATTCCATGTTTGTGCAGTTTTATTTTGACAATATGGTAATAAAAGAAATAGGTTAAATTATCTAAGTTTTGGTGAAAGATAACTGTGAATCAAGAGTAAGTCTCTGATGGGTCTTGTCTCTGGTGTGCAGCAACCTTTTTTTTGAAAAATCATTCAGGGCTGAAAGTCAGGAAATTGAGTAGAAAAGGGTTAAAAGAGGACCACATGTATCTTTTGATCTCTTAAAAATTGGACTGTGTGACCCAATGGATAAAAGTTACCTGTTAGTGGAAACAAATTTACAGTTTCTGATGACTGATACTGCTGCTAGTGAAGTAAGTAATGCGTAAGTAACTTCATTTCAGTTTAATAAGGAAGGTCTGGTCTCATATTTGATATTCAGAAAGATTGTATTTGCAAATTGTGAATTGTGATTAAATTCTGTATTGATATGGCTTCTCTAAACTTTCACAATAAAATTATTGCCTGTCTCCAGGAGGCTGGGAAACAAAGTCAGTCAAGGTCCCAGCTGGGTGCTGAAAATGTAATTCTCTCATGCATAGGAGCAAAGTGCTCTCAGTGTCTGTAACTCCCCATGACTTCAGGAAGAGATAACAACACTTCTTTTATTGCTGACTCCTGGGATAGTATGCAGTTGGTGTTTAAGGCCAGTTTCCTCTTCCTTTCCTCGCCCTCCCTGAAAATTCTAAACTTCTTTCATCCTGTGCACATGTTTTTCTTTAGTGTGCTGTAGTAAACAGCATAAATAGGATGTCCTATATACTTCTGTATGTACAGTTTGAAGGCATAAGGGTGCACATTATTTGGAGAGGAACACTGCTTTCAATGGTTGCAACACAATGTGAAATCAGCAACACAGTCAGCTCCGATGGTCCCACAGAGTGTTTGGAGTATATTTGGATCTTGTTATTCCTTCTCATTCTCCAGTCATTAGGATATGAACAGATACTGCCTGTTCTCAAAGTGGAAAGCTGCAGCCATTCTCTAGGTGATCATTCGTTTTGAATGAAAAGAAAAAAAAATGTAGAATGAAAGCACAGAACACATGACCTAAAATTGGAGGTCTGAATGATGTAATATGGTTTAAGTTTCATATTTCAAACCACAGGCCAAATTTAGGCTAGAAATGAATGCTATAGCTGGCTTTAAAATGAATAGGATTTTTTTTTTTCCTTTTTTTTGTACACTAGAACTTAGCCCTCAGGTTCACATGATCTGCTGTTTCTTGATTGGAACTAGCTCTTGGTCTCTAGTTATCCACCAATTACAGCAAACTAATTTCCACTAATGACAATTCTCAAATCGTCCTTCACAAGGTTTAATGTAATTTCTTTTTTGGCCTTGGGCTTTCAGAACCATACACCAAACTGACTGTAAATTAGCTCTAGAGTAAAGAACAAAATATTACACAGAAATGTGACCCTGTAATAATTAACAAGGTGCCCCAGAGGATTCCATGTATTATGATACTTTTCTCTCTTCAGATACATTAGTGGCCCTTGTGATTCCTTGTAGGTTCCAGAGTTGCTTTTATGCAGATGGCTTTGCAGTCTTCATGAGTGGACCATCTGTCACAATTGAACCTTGTGCAATTGATTGCCTAAAAAAATGGATTTTAACAAGTTGTTCCTATTTTATCTTGAATTTGAATTCTGAAGTATTTTTTTGCAAAATATGCCATTTACATGTTGTTTTTTTAAAAGGGTTTAGGGAGTTTTGTTCATTTGTTTTTGTTGATATAATTTTTTAGTTTTTATTGCATTTATTTAATTACTTTTGAATAAGACATGATTATTTCTCTACATTAGTAAGAGATTATGTTCATGTGAAAAACATTTAGGATTATTTTCCTGTTTTTCATTGCTGCAGATTCATTTCAGTGATCATGTACACAGTCTAACTTTTGTCATTTTACTTAAGATTTAAACAATATGCCACATTTCTGTTTTATTTATTTTGTTTTTTACTTTTGTGATTTCCACAAGAACTCATTAATAGACTGAACTAATTATGCTGATATGAGTATTTTACCTGTGTTACTTTACATTATCTCATAGATTCATTTATAGAAACATGCATGTTTACATGTAAGTAAGACTGAAAGTTTCTGAAATATGGTGCTAATTATATTTTATTTAACTAATTAGTTACTGGAATTCAGTGACCTGTATTTGACTTACTATTTTTATATAGTCCTAGATATACCACAAAGGACATAAAACACATACTGGATATATTTTTTAAACTACTTTC